CCCAGATAATACTGCCACTAAAAGTCGAGAAGCCAGCCTCAAGGAGTTTGAGAGATTTGAGAACTCCTTAGAAGAGTTAAAGGAAACCCTGCAAGATCTCAAACAAGACCTACAACATGCACGCAAGATTGGAGATTCATTCTTGGCCACGGATGTCAATTTCTTTCTCAACAACGATGGGTATCCCGGAGATGCGTCAGAATGCTATTTATATCTAGCTGAGATCCGCCGCAAGTTTCATGACATTGGTCAGTTGTGTGTTTTCTTCGACAGTCTGGAGGCAAGATGCGACGACATGGTTGAGACATGCGACACAGCAAGAAGGAGGGTGAGTGGTGATAACGACCCCGGTTTCATATGTAGATTTGCATCTGTTTCTCCCAACACTTCAAACCTATAGCTGATATGAAGCAGTTTTGTTTTCCATTCGATGATTCTATTCAATCTCCCAGCACAATACAGGTATTCATAACTAACAACGCTCGTATGACAATACTTTCTGACGATTTTCTTGCTTATGTCTAGTTACAAGATAGTATCATAGCCCTCACTGATGTACGTGACGGATCTCTGTTATCCATATAGAAAACTTGAATGGTACGGGTTAACTTCTATTAGGAGGTACGGCGACTGCGTTCCATCGGAATACAGCAGTCGATCTTGGGCAAAAGCGAAATCGATGAGGTTCGCCTTCTAGCTTTGAGTACACTGGCCAGTCCATCCAACTTGTTCTTTTTGCAGCTCACCTCGGCTGACATTCGTTGCAGATCACCTTGCCCTTCACGCACACCACTGCGTTATTTAGTGCGGATGGCGTTATTGCCTTCCAGAAGGACTGGAGAAACTTCCTCACCTCTTTACTATGCGCGTACTTATTGATGCTTGGAGTAACTTCGATGTTCAAATGGTGGATCAATCACACGAACAAAAGGCTGAAAGTTGAGGTCACGCAGTCGACCATGCTTTCAAGGAGCCTCGAGAGTAATGCTGACAGAGAATTTCAACCCACGATAGCCCTAGGACGGGTATCAGCCACATCAAATCCTGACGCACAAATGAATTGCAGTGGCAGCCGAACGCCGCCGTCTGCTGGGAATCGATTTCCTTGGGACTTCAGACGTCGCCATTCCACGCGTTCAGGGCCTAGCCACAAGGTACCCGGCCGAACTGACGACATTGAGTTTGAAGCTGCTCTACCTTGGTCTTCGGAAATTGGAGTTTGAACCTGGCAGTCATCTAATTCGTGTATTTTGAAGGTTGGATTTTGGGATGTTAATACTACACTTATTATACGGCTGAGCTGAGGTTGTTGACCTCCTGACTAGGGTGTTTGATCCTAGTGCCAACGTATAAGGAGTGTTTTGAGATGATTCAGCTGAGATTGGAAATACAGGGGCTGAAAACGAGCCGCGCCTCGGGGTTTGTGCTTCGGGGGAACGGATTTTCATGGTATCTTGGTCACATCGCCTTAAATCCCACCTTAAATTCCACTTCTTATGCACGTCATCACTACAATTTAACCAGCATTTAAGTTGAGCATCTCCACCCACCCGTCTCAGAGCCGCGCCGGCAGTGCACCACGTGATATCCCGCCACGCGCCAACGTGCGCTGACATCATTCACTCTCTGGGCCAGACGCATTTGAGGTGTGGTAATCGAAGAACTTCCGGCGAGTCACAGATTCGATCATGGACCTTGATTCAACCTCCGACACAGGTTGACAAACGTTGTCAAGACAACGTGCGCTAAGGCAACTTGAAACCTCAAAGCTGGAAAATCGGATAGTCCTTGTTATTCTACGTCTTTGGCCGATACCGGCATAGATTTGGGCAAACCTGAGCCCAACTTGAGATTAAGGAGGGGCCGCTAAGTTTTGACAGGCACACAAAAAGGTCAGCAACAGATGCATCGACCCGAGGAAAGACGGTGAACCTCGCACGATGTGTTTGCCTTACCCTTCGCTGCCCGACAAGTACGACACAGCCAGAATGAAGGGGCCCAAGAGGACATCGGGCCGTCTGCCAGGATGCCAGCCTTTCTTCATATCTTTCCTGTGATTATTGACTGGACGAAATTCATTCGGCTCGCAAGCCCTACGGCGGGCAACATGCGCGACCTCAAATGGTCATGTGCCGACATTGTCTGGTGCCCCGAGATTCGCCGACACAGAAAAAAAGTACGATGCAGAACTTCAGCCGGGAGCCGAGGAATGAAAGTGGTTGTGGCATTTTAGTCCTGGTTGCAGTCATTTGTGCACAGCCACGAAGCAGCTTTTCGGAACGGGAACCCATAATGGGACAAGCGATGAGACGGGCGGGCGTTCCCGAACGGGGTGTTCTGCTGACAGCATATGGTATGACAGAAGCCCAACGATGTCGATCTCTGTAAGGAAAACCCTTTGGGTTGATCTCGAGTCACAACAAGTTCGGGATCCAAATACCTTCTTCTCGGTCAGCTAATGAACGCAACTCGACATCAATCCTGCAGACATACTGACGACCAAATATGAAAGGTGACGCATGCCAGAGGTTCTTGATCAAGAGTGGATCTCATTGACGGGGTAATGATCATATCGCGACCTCGTGGGAGGGTGTCTGGGTCTGAACGAATCGCATCGCCCAGGAAATAATCACCGCTTCGGAGACACCGAGAACGCACTGCGCTGATGCGTTGTGCACAGCGGTGCCCTCACGCGGTGCGTCGGGATACAAACATCGGTGCACGATCGTAGCCCCGGTGATCGATTTCTCTGTCAGATTGCCTCAATTCTCAGAAGCAGAAATAATAGTGCTTGCAAGCGTCCTGCCTCAAGATTGTTTGGAACAATAGATCCCAATCAGGGGCACGGTCTCAAGGCAACCAGAGAAGGCGACCGCGCTCTGCGTCCCAACGACGCGGTTACCGAGCTGCTCTTCTTATGCACAATTGGGCCGCAAATACCAGAGCCCAAAATACGACCAAGTCCCTTCTTCTAGGGTCACATGTATTACATCGGTCGGCCGCGGTTGGTCGTGTCGAATTCGTTATCGTGAGGGGGAAACCTTTCAGGTAGCGTAATTGGAGCCACGAATCCAACTACCATCTGCCCAGTTGAACGTGACTGCCATTGCGTTCGGTGACGATCGAAACCGTGGAAGTCGTTTTCGAAGCTGGCAAGATTGGCAGGTTGGTAGCGATGAGAAGGAGGGCGGCAGTCATAGATGAAGGGGGATCGATAACCGTGGGGAGGAAACCCCTTGATAGCAGAATGAAGGCCGGACGGAGAGGGCTTTATTTCTGTCTACCCCTGCGATTCATCAACCAATGAAATCCAGGCCCCAAGGAGACCTGCTTGAATACCGAAAGGCCAGCGAAGTGCGAATACCAACACCCGAAGGTTAATTTCCCTTGGAAACGACGCTGCGCTCAGCCACATGACATGAGCTGTACAAAGTAATCCTAGCTTGTAGACGCAAATTTCGGTCTTTATGCAAGTACCCGAAGCATTTCTTTCTCAGGTTCGAAGAGTGATGGAAGGGATAGTCACGCGAAGCAAATTTTGGCGCCTCGGATGCTTATAATTGTTTCGTCACTGACCTTACCTGATTGGGCTTTGTGTCTCGCTCATAATTTGGTGTCCTGCGCCGTTGGGCTCCACAAGTCCAGTCGATCTGCAGGCTGCGGCTAAACAACAATCATTTTCTTTTCCCGCCGAACACCAGCCCCTCCAGCGTATTTCACATCACTGGCTCTGCTCCCTTGAGTTGGACGCCTTCACTCTTTGTGACACCTTGATCCTCAATGAGCGACTTTCATGGAGGTTTTCAACTTGAGAAAATAACGACGTCAGTTATGCAGGGCGCAGAACCCTTGTACCAGCGTACAGTGTACCTTGGAGTACGAATACTGCGTAATCACATATCGTTTTGCGTGCATGGTTATCCGGGTACGGCCTGTCAGGCGATAGCGACGCGTCTCGCGCCGTCAGGGACCGCCCAAGCGCGTCGTCCTTTTCCCAACTGTTTTTCCGTTCCATAGCACGTACAGGAACGCAAGCGTATGCCCAGTAACATATCTCTGTCCAACTCTGTGAGATTGGGGAATACCTTACCCTCCGATTACGGTCCGACGACGACAACCGCTTTCCATTGAAAACAAGTGGGTGTGCTCACTGTTTGGACAAGCCACGATAGGAGGATCCAAGAGTCGAAGAAACAGCCAATCCCACAACGTCCGCACCACACCTCTCGTTCGCCTCGGTTGAAGGAAAATCGTTGCCTTCCCCTGCAGCCTCAGCCAATCAACCAGAGGAAAAGCCTCGTGCCAATGCAGGTGAAAGACGGCCAGCGACGACATATAAGAAGAAGGGTGGCCCATCAGCATGGTAATCAAGCCCGCCGCTGTCACTCAACCCCAATTCTTGGTCTTTCATGGTTGAAGACTGACGCAGTAGCTGTGTACTAGCCTCGACCAAAGTACGGCTTCATTTGGACCTGTGTTCGTCTCTAACCCCCGCAGTGCAAGTGGCACCCTGCTAAAGCTTGACAGTGTTGCTGTGGACAAGGCGGAATGACCGTTGTGGTCGATCCCTGTGTCAACTGCCACTACCCTCGTTGCTCACGTTGCAGAGTCGATCGAGTGAGAGTTCGGCAACATCAACATTCAACAACTGGCCATACTCCTTCACCGCCCTCTTAGAAACTGATCCAAGAAGCTTAAGTCCAGGTACGTTGCTATTTCTCCGTTGAAAGACTTACCGGAGGCCCTCTTCTGTGATAGATCCATGAAGGTAAGAATAGCCTCTTTGCTATTCTTTCCTGTACATGAGCTTGAGAAAGGACTGGTCATCTTCCATACAACCACGAAGCACAACTCTTTATCGGCGCATATCAGATAGTACAGCTGTTGTTCATATCTAAGAAATGTTATATACAGCCAATCCGCTTCCTTCCGCCCGGATGATGAGTGACGGCAGCTCGATTCATTCGGCTCCGGCCATACTGCAATCGAGCTCACACCAAATGCTCACTTCAGGGCCGAAAAGTGGAGCCATTTCGGAAAAGATACGTAGAAGTGCGCTCGCTGGAAACTTCTCGTGGCCTTTGAGATACTTCGAACGTGGAGAACTCTCGGTATCATGGGAAAACCAAGCTTGGATTGATACGCCTCAAGGTCTCGACCAGGACCTGGGACGCTCGGCTGCTACTCTTGTTCTGAATGCCGAACCAAGATGGCCCGCGGACAAATACAGAGTGAAGATTTTGGAGGATTTCCTGCACGATGCCACAGTCCAGAAACTGGAAGATGGACATCCTAGCGTTCCAAATCACAAGGTGGCGTTGCTAATTGACGGCAACAAGCTGAAAGCGGACCCTGAATTGCGCAAATTCCTCGAGGGCCTGTCTGCACGCGATCTACTGGTTGAGTTGAAAAAGAAGGTCGGGAATAATGACAATTACTTGATGCTGAGATTCAGAAGAATTAACTGACTTATAATAGCGATATCGAGAACATCCGGAGTGCGACGATGAGTTGGATTTTGCGGAAGCTGAGCGTCGGTTGATGTGCGTTCTTTTGCGTCCTTTTCATCGCGGTATACTGACAGTTCCGGGCAGTTATATGGTTGACATTGACTCATGGGGTATGCAATCTCTCGTCGGGAGCGCACCCGAGTCCTTTGCTCGCGTGCTGGGAGATTTCCTGCTCGGATACATTTCCTCAAGGGCTTTTCTGGAAGTCCGATTTTCTGCAAGTCGCCGGCTCTCTCCAAAACCACGTGATATTCATACAGCTAATGACGTGAATGTTCTCAGACCACAGGGCCACAGACATTCTTGATGCAATTTTCGTTTCCTTTGAGGGTGTGGCGCTCCACAAATCGGCTTGCCAAAGACCACCGGGCTAAAGGAGCTGACCGCGGAAGCTTGCGATCGTCACGCGATGTGACATTCTTGAGGTCAGTAGCTGATGCAGTTGAGGAAGACGGGGAAGTCGACGGGATCTATGCCGCTCAGATCAGTTGCGTTGTTACGGGGTTCGATCAAGACAGATGGACCGCCTTGGTTTTAACAGAGACCTGGTTTGAAGAGGATAAGCCTGATGACCCCTCTCCTGACAAAATATCTCGCCACGAAAATGATTATCATGACAATCTGGAGGGTGGCTTTGACGCCATATTCGACCCTCTATGCAGAGGTAAAATCGATGTAAACCAGGTGTGGCATCCTCGACCATACTTCTGTCGCATTCTGGAGACGCGGGTTGAACAGGTTCATCGGGAATGGTATCAACTTGTCGCCAAGCTCAGAGAAAGACATGACAGCTGGGTAAGACTGCACACATCCATGTTTTCTTTCAATCGTCTGCCTTGAATGCTAACACGAAATCCTCAGATCGAGCGTCATGAACACTTTCTCCGCCGCATGCGAAGGCTTGCGAAGCAACCTCAACCAATTTCAACGGAAGAGTCTGGCTTTTCAGAGTTCGCTGACTTCGAAGACAACATGCACGAATTCAAGGGTATTTTAAACGACGTTATCTCAGATCTTCGTGAAACTGTGCGCATCGGCGACTGGTTCATGAAGACGGACGTCAACTACTTCCTCAACCGAAGTGAGGGTCTACAAGACGCCCTCGACTGTTTTGACTATCTCAGCCAGGTCCGCACCGCTTTCAATGGCCTTAACCAATTGCTTCAACATTTGGTTGATATGAAGGATAAGTGGAAAGGTATGCTGAAAACTGGATTGTCGATGCAGGAACGGGTAAGTCGTCCATGCCTCGGACCTAGCACAGCCTGAACTGCTCAGACTAACCCATTTTGTGACATCCTAGATCAGAAGTGTGTCGCTTTCTCAACCTAGACGGCAGGTCGAGCCTAGAATTCTAGCGTGGACCACAATCGTGAGTTACTTCCGAAAGAGTTGCGATCTCCTACTAACACATCCACCCAGATGTCTCAGCCACTTGTTCTCACGGCCGCTATCTTCGGCTGTGACGACATCATCACTTTCAAACGGACTTGGCCAAGGTTTCTCATTGTTTTTGGAATCATCACCGTGGTCATGATTGTGCTTGTCGCTGTTGTTTTTCGCCTTGCCACCGGCACATGGCAGCTGCTTCCTCGGGATTCAGCGGAGGGAAACACAACGCCAACGCCATCCCATGGCGGGGACAGCCCGAGGCAGGACGGCATTCAATCATTCCAGCGACGGGAAACACTTGCAACGAAGGCTATGAATTGCTTCCAAAGAAGTGGTATCAATCAATTTCTTGCCTGGGTCTGGCGCATTTCCCGAGATGACATACCAGACCGAAACGAACTTCCAGACTGGAGACCTGTCAATGGGGTTCAAGCGACAGCCAGGGAAGTCGAAACTACGCCAGATCAAAGATCATCTTGAGTCCACGAGTTTTCTTGAAGCAAGCTTTTCGGGCATCACTAAGTACTGTTTGCAGTTGCCTAGATTTCCTCTGCATTTCGCACTGTATTTTGGTTTGTCTAATTTTGTACTTCTTGGTCTTGGTTAAATCCTGAATGGAGTCTGTTTTTGATGTTGGGGATTGCACAATCATGTAAAAGCTAGGTAGTTTGTGCATTAAGAGATCTCGGAGTCGGATCAAAACAAAAAGCACTGGTTGATTATGCATTTATTCAGATGGGACTAGCAGCAACTAATTTTCCGGCGCGTTTACATGTTCCTGAGCACCTTGCAGTACGCAAGAGTCCATGGCGCTATACCGCCACGTGTTGGGCAAAAGATACGTGTGCGGCTTACGTCTAGGCAGTGCTGGTGTCACTTTTGGCACAAGCTTATCTTGGGTGAAGTCACTACATCGGCTACGGCCGAATGAGAAACCGTTGAAGATATGCAACTGGGTACCAGAACGAAAGCAGGGCAGCCTATCACAGGATGCAGTTTGTTTCCCCCCTCCAACAGAGCCAATCCCCAGGACGAAAATAGGCATGGCCCGAACCCAACCAAGCGGCCTGGCACACATCGCTGCAAGTATGTCCAATCTTATCATGCCGCGTCAATTGAAAAGTACACTGCTTCATGCCCGACGACACCCAGTTGATTAGTGCACTCAGCCTCCCTTCAAGAAGGACTTTCAAATTCCCATGTCAATTGTGACAATGTTCTTTCTCTCTTTCATCTCACACACCAAACCAGGCTGTGCAGAAGGGAATGTAGGAAGCAATCACTATCACATACCATGGCGACTCTTTCAATCAATGGTCTTCACTCTTCTCTCGAGAGGCTGAGCCTCGACACTCCTCTTCCCTCTTTTCCCCCTGCTGACGTACTAGTACGTCCTCTCGATATCTTTCGCTCCTACATTGCGAAAATTGTTGCCGAGGTCACGGGATGTGATCCAGCCCTTGCGTATGAGGCGATCCAGACTACTGCGGCGATTTCCATGGGCGACTTGGCAGTCATTCTGCCTCGACTTAAGATCAAAGCGAATGCAGAGGTTGCGGCAGAGCTTCTGGCAAAGGTAAGCAGCATTTTTCGCCTTGTTGAATTGAATCTGGCTGACTAGATTGTGCAGTTCCCCAAGTCTCCCCTCTACACCTTCCCGTTTGTTGACGGCATCCACATCCGAATCTTCTCTTCCCCTTTCACGCTCCCCAGACTCCTCCTCCCCTTCATCGCGGACCGAAAGGAGCTATACGGCGGCGATGAGTCATTCGGCCTTCGACCCGCTCCTGACTCTGGAAAGCTGAAGGCCATCGTCGAGTTCTCTTCTCCCAATATCGCCAGCGAGTTTGAGGGTAGGCATCTGCGCAGTACCATCAACGGCGCTGCCATCGCCAACCTGTATGAGCGCATGGGATGGGATGTCGTCCGCATGAACTACCTGGGCGACTGGGGCAAGCAAGTCGCCCTTCTTGCCGTCGGCTGGGAGAAGTTCGGCTCTGATGAGGAGTTTGAGAAGGATGCCATCCGCCACCTTCTCGACGTCTACAACAAGATCGTGGAGGCCTTCAAGCCTGAGCTCGAGGCCAGTCACAAGGCCAAGGCCGACAACAAGAGCACTGCCGAAATCGAGTCGCAAGGTATCTACGCTGAGCGCGATGCCTTCTTCAAGCGGTTGGAGGATGGCGACGCCGACGCGATGGCTTTGTGGAAGAAGTTCCGTGACGTCTATGTCGAGGACTATACCAAAGCCTACGCGCGTCTCGGTATCAAGTTCGATGAGTACAATGGCGAGTCACAGGTAACGTCCGAGTCCATCGCCGAGGTCGAGGCTGTTCTCAAGGACAAGGGTGTCCTCGAGGAGAGCGAGGGTTCCTGGGTCATCGACTTCAAGAAGCACGGCTCCAAGGGACTGAGCACCGCAGTGTTGCGCAACCGTACCGGCACCACTATGTATCTCCTCCGCGACATCGCCAACGTCATCGACCTCGACAAGAAGCACTCCTTTGACAAACTGATCTACGTCGTAACGTCCGACCAAGATGCCCACTTCGCTCGCGTTGCAAAGGCCATCGAGCTCATGGGTCATGTTGACCTTGCCAAGAAGCTCCAGCACGTCGGCTTCGGCAAGGTACAGGGTCTCTCGGCGCAGCTCGGCAACGCGCATCTCTTTGGCGACATGATTGATCAATGTGCTGCTGCAGTGAAGACAGCCATGGCGCAGCAAGAAGGTGGTGCTCCAGCTGCCGCCGCTGAGCCTTTCGGTATCACCTCTTTGATTGCTCAAGACATGCACACCAAACGCGGCAACGGCTACGCGTTTGATAGCAAGAAGATGACTGAGTTTGATGGAGACACGGGCGCTGCACTTCAGTTTGCATATACCAGACTCAAGTTGGCTTTGGGGCAGCTTGAAGCCGATCCCACGGCTCTGGCCGACGTTGACTACACACATCTTCAGGAGGAAGAGTACACAAATCTTCTCCGACTCATGGCGCAATATCCCGACGTCATCAACGCTGCGTACAAATCGGTCGAACCTTCTGCCGTCCTCTCATTCTTGTACCGTTTGGTCGAGCAGCTGATTGAGTGTCTTGATGTCGACGAAGATGCAGAAGCGCCTGAGGGTCCGGAAGTGGACCTTGCGAGAGCCGTGTTGTATGAGAATGCGAAGCAGGTGTTGGAAAACGGAATGAAGGTTCTGGGTATCCAACCATTGGCCACTTGAGCTGTACTGTATCATTGTGCATTTATGCTGATCATCTGGAATGTTTGGCTTCGATGTTTGGCTTGTTTTGGTTTTATATCTTGAGGACAACAGCGCCTTGGAACAGTGGGCGGCTTTTACTCTTTGTTCATTGGCAAAGACTGATTAGATGATGATCTGACGACTACATGAGTACACCTCAGCGCATTGGTTTTAGGGTTGTAGTTTACCGCGGAGCATAACAATTTGAAGATACTTGTAATCAATCAAAACATTTGCTTGACACAACCCGATTTCTTTTCGTTGACTGGCTGGATGACTCTCTAATCACATAAGCTACATGTCTCCCCACGATTCCATTGTCGCTGACTATTTACACCTAGACAAATATCTTGTCTGGCACAGCTTGTAGCAAATCTTGGTGGAGTTCTGACTTTTCGCAACACTCACTCTTGCGAATTCTTCTTGTGCTGGCCGTCTCTTCTACATAGGTAGTGGTAGGTGCCTTCAGCCATGGTCTCGTGCACTTGAAAGGTCGAATACTCAAGGAATACATCAGACCCCCGCTACAACTGAATCACAGCAAGAGCAGTCCACCGGTGTGACTTCCTCCATTAAAGTCTCACTCAGCTGGGCTACAAAAGGGCCTCTTCTCTCCCTCTTCTCCAACGCAAACAAACTTTCACACCTCGTCATCTACAGATCCATCCTTCGGCGTCATCATTTCTACCGTCGTCCGTCGCCGTCGTCAGTTGCCCTCGTCAGTTGGCGTCGTCCGTCGCCATCGTCCGTCGCCAGCGTCCGTCGCCGGTGTCCCTTCCTCGGCTGCGCAATCTCCCCAAGCACTTCAGATGTGATTCACCTTGACACTTTGCTCACCACCTTTTCCTTTACTTGTCCCTTTCACCTTTGTCTTCCCAGCTTGGTCAGCACGTTCTTAGTATTCCACAAGCAACAGCGCGTCTGCCTACCACTCTTCATCTTCACGCGGGGGGTTTCAACACATTCAACCTTAACCTCAACCTCAACACCAACAGCAACTTGCAACTATCACCAGCTTTTTTCGCTGAAAAGACCCCTTTTCGTGTCGCAGCAACGCAACTAGGTGGGTAACTCCTTTTTATTGCTCTCCTTCCTTTTACATCGGCTGATTCTGAACTATAAGAGCACACCACGGGACGCCAACAGCCCTCCACAAACCTCCCCCTTAACACATCACAACAACACGACAACGACACAACAACGTACATCAACTTCTCTCTTCACCTCGCAATACCGTAACTAAGTGGATAGCTTCTTCCATTTCCATCTTTTCCTTGAACACCAGCTGATTCTGAACTATAAAAGGACACCACCAGACGCTGACAGACCTCCACAAACCTCTCCCTCAACACATCACAACTACACAACAACCATACAACCATACGACAACTTCTTTCTTCGCCTCACAACAGTAACTGGGTGGGTAGCTCCTTCCTTCTCGTCTCTTTCCTTGAGCATCAGCTGATTCTGAACTATAAAAGGGCACCACCGGACGCCGACAGCCCTCCATAAACCTCTCCCACAACACATCACAGCCACACAACAACAACACCACAAGTCACTGGGCCTCACCCCCCTTCAACCATACATACATAAACACCACACAACAACGACAACCCCACTACATACCGTCATGTCTGGCCGACGCGATAGAGGAACGGCGGTCATCACGCCGGTGGAGCGTGCCCGCCGCGCCGAGCGCGCCAAGGAGAAGATTCGTGAAGAGGTGACATTCACCCCCGCCCTTCTCGGCCGCGTCCAGTCACGCGTCGACGCGAACGCCTTCCGTCGCTGCATCTCGGACAACACCATCTACCAGTCCATCTGCAACTCGCTCAAGGACCAGAACCTCCCTGAGCGGGAGCGCCGCCCCGACCTTGTCGACTTCCTGGCTCTTGAGGCCATTCTTCCTGTTCAGTACAACGGACAGTACAACAAGGTGCTTAAGGATCTCTTCGTCCGTTGCCACACGATCTCCTGGGTCAAGGAGGCCATCCTCAAGGCCAACCACGACTGGTTCCAGGACCAGCTGAAGGAGTCGAAGGACTTCATCCGCACCATGATCAACAAGGTCGATTCCCAGCTCCTGGAGATCATCCTCGAGGACATTGAGACCAGCTTCTGGCGCGAGAACATCAAGGACCACGTCCTCTACAAGAAGGTCTACCACAAGCTTCTGTCCGACACCGCCCTCACCCAGCGCGACGTCCTCACTGTTGTCGCCATCAACGGAGGCAGATACCCCACCGAGATCTTCCGTCACCTCGTCATCAAGCAGAACTCCGACATGCTCAACTTCGGCAACAACATGCACGCCCGTCACGATCTCTACGAGGATGAGGAATACCGTGGCTCGGCCCCCGCCTACATTCCTCAGGCCAACAACACCTTGCAGAGCCTGGCCCCTAGCACCACCGCCGTCCCTACTACCGCCGTCCCTACCAGCTCTGCTGCCAGTGCCACCGATAGCATCTCTGACCTTGAGGTCATTGCCGAAGCCATGGGAGACAAGAACAAGAGTCGCGAGATGCGCAAGAAGATCCAGGAGATGAAGGAGCTCATGGGCGGTGGCAGCCTTCGAACCGTCCGTGGAGGCCGCGTCCAGAAGCCCCAGAAAGGCACTCAAGGACGACAGGTCATGCAGTCGATCGAGGAGGAGGACGACGAGGAGGACGGCGACGATCCTGTGGTCACCAAGAAGGAGCAAGTCAGCCCCGGCACCAAGACGCCTGCCCGTGCTAAGGGTGGTCGCAAGACTGGCTAAAGGCATCTGTATTTCTCGAGCGAATAATTGCAACAAAGCACACGGGCATCCATATGGAAGGAAGGAGAGACTGTATGATATAGAAAGGAGCTTGAATCGTCTCTTCCAGCGGTAGTTAGCAATCGGAGCCCATCATTTCTGCTCTCTGGCGTCCCAAGCGGCCTCGTCCGGCCTCGCTGTCACAAGTGTTTCTTCGTGGCTCTGTGGTCTTTGTCCTTGTTCCAGATGTTTCGTTGTCTCTTCTGTTCAGCACTGCCCTTGATCCTTGATCTGTCTATTGTCCTTGTCCTGGGGATGCCTGAGTACTACGTATCTGTTCACTGTTCGACATCTTTAAACTCGTAAAACTCTGGAATCTCTGCAAAATGCTTTCACATAGGCAACAGGCAGTGTCTACGAGACCGCGAAACTATTTTTGAAACAAGCGGTACACTGCGGCCTGCGCTGCTCGTGTCCGTAAGGAGTAGATTCATTCATTAAAGTAGGTAGTCATGTCATGTTGCGATCAAGTTCCAACTATCATCCTCTCTCCCTCAAACCTGCTCAGGTTCCCTCGGATTGCTCGTCACCACGAACTCGGTCTTCTTGACGATTACCGGCGCATCAAGGTGATAATCCGTGCTCCCATCATCAGAGCTCTTCCCCCTTCTTGAGCCGCCCTCGATGCCGACCTCCGTCTCGTTGCGGTCGATCCCGCTGCTCAGGGGCTGCATGCCGCTCATCCCCGGCCTCCAGCTCTGCAGCGCGTATCTGCTTCCCACGTTGCCGTTACCGGTCGCGGCGCTGCGTCCGTAGCCGCTTGCGCCGCCGTATTTGTTACTCCTGCTTCCTGATCTGCTCTTCTCGTTGAAGTACTTGACTAGCGGCGCGAGAGTAGGCACGCAGGTGACGATGATTCCGAGGTTGTTCTCGACGGTGGACCACATGATAAGGGGGGCAGAGTCGAGGTAGTTGGCGAGAGAGTGGACAGTTTGGATGCGGATGATTTGGATGACGGTGATGAAGGCGCCGAGGCCGAAGAGGCCAAGCAGCACGAATTTCTTGCGCTTTTGGATCTTCGAGGTTGCGAGAACGGGGAATGGTAGAAACATGCTGTTGGATATCTGTCAGCTGCTGGAAAAAGCGAAGTCAAAATTAGCAGAACTTACACAACGATATCGAATACAATTGTCAAGGCAGCCATGCTGGTGTAGAAAGGAACACCTGGAATACAAGAGCCGTTGGTGATTGTAGGATCCCACTGTTTGGCGATCTAGATCTGTTAGCGTTGGAATTCAATGTTGACTTCGAAAGTGCGTCATACCGGCGTGCAAAGGTTGATCTGCACAACCAAGAAAGCAATGTGGTAGGCAATGCAGAGACCAATGGTCGCAAATGTGCTCCATCTATAGATTCCCTTTGGGATGAAGCGCAGATATGACAGAAGCAAGCTGAGCTTAAAGCCAAGAATGCTCGAGATGTAGCTGTCTGCTGTTAGGAGAGACTGCCTCAGAGTGACGAAGAAAAACTTACAATGGAGCACCAGCGTATTGCAGAAGACCGAACTCGTAGAGATTCTCTTCCGGCATGTCGGTCAACTTCTTCAGGCCAAGGCCCCATTTTGTTTCTACGTCGAACTGTCAGAATACAGTTGGATCTCTCTTTCTGGAAGAATTAACTTACGCATGATGCTCACGACGGCAAAGCCAGCGGCGCAAAACTAAAACGACATTGTTAATCGAAGCCCCTTCTTGCTTCGCAGACTTATCTTACCCAGGTAAAAACGATGACCCAGTCATCTGCATTAATCATCGTCAGCACACTTTCCTCTCAGCACTCGAGTTGTTCGCACTTACCAGACCCAGTTGCCTTCAGCATCACCATGCGGACGTACAGCCGCAAGGCCATAATGACCAACGACAAGGCCGTGAACACAATCGCAATAGTCGCAATCTTGGGTCCATCGGTATCCGTCCCCGGCGGGGTGTTGTATGCCCATGGCGGTGAACTCATGACTGTGATCGACTCTCAAAATACCCTCCTTTGGGATCCTTGAGGGCAACTCGTTGTTGCGGTGAGCTTATAGCCAGCGGGTAAGGCTGAATATCTGGCGTGCTGACTATCTCAAGAGGAGGTTGAGGGGACGGGAAGTGGGAAGCAACCACTGCTAGCCGATCGAACCGACGCGTAGCCCCGGGTAGGGAAGAAGGAGTCCAGGCGCAGAAAGTGGACGTGG